TATAACAACAGCCTTTCGACACCCACAGCTAACCCGGAGTGTCAGCCGAGCACGGTGACTGCTGTACGACAACACGCACGTAAATACCTAGACAGCAGGCACCACCTCCTCATATTCATCTTCGTACACACAGTTACACATTTACCTAATATCATTTTAATTTACTTTTTACTGTGTTACGACAATTGTCTAATTTAGATTTTAATTTATTTCACCCCATATCCTTGCCTATACCACAAGGAAATCAAAATTTTATTTTTATTGTAACCGAATCTAAGTATTTAGCTTTAAGTAGAAATAATGATTATTATTTTTCTGTATCAGACCTTCAACTTTCAAATTGTTTTGATTTAAGTAATTTTAAATTGTGTAAGTACTCTAAAGCACTATATTGTATTTTGAACTTTTATTGGATAAATTTCCTTCATTTAAATCCATTTTGGCATTAGGTTCGTCTAAGTCTGTAGTTGTTGATGTACTGGTTTTGTTTAGAAATTTCATCATACTAGTACTCATAGCTTGGTTCACTTGCATCATTTCAGCTTTTCTCTTTCTTTTGGAAGCACCAGATTCCATTTCCGACCAGTATCTCTGTCTTTACTAGATCCAGACATGATACCTACATATGGATAGTTAATTATATTTTAATAATAAATTATTAAGTAATATTTATAAAATTATGTATGAGAAGTGTTAAATACAAATAATATTCAATTACAAATTACAATTATTTACTAGTTCTTAAAGTTTTAACTAACATTTCCAATACAACATACTAAAATATATTATTTCCATACTTCCCTATTATAAAAAATTATTATTATATATCTATTCTGTCACAATAAATCGTTTTCCATGCTGATTATGTTATTTTCATATTATAATAAAATCATTTTTTAACTAATATCATAAAACAAAAAAAAACAATGGAAAATGTAAACACAATTAATAAAGTTTTATACTTACATCTTAGGTACGTGTGGTATGATTTTTGCGTCGTTAAATATTATTAAATTGAATATAATTTTCGGTAATCGATCGATACAGAAACGAGGATAAAACACAACCAATCGAACTAACAACAACTGTCAAAATGAAATTACGTTATCGAGTTTAGATAAAATCGGTTCACCGAAACGGTCAGTCTGGCCCCGATAACGCGGTTTAATGTTAATTATAGAATAGTCGCGGTCGTTTGCCGATCGGCAACCGACAAAACGCATAGTGTGATCTGGTACTTTTAGTAATGACTAAATATGACGAAATATAAGATTTATGTTTATGATTTTTTTTTTACAATAAAATAATTTCATGGATACAAAAATTTTTGTATAGATACTTCTCCCATATTTTTCTATGGTTAATTATAAGTCCCTTTGGAACGCGAGGCCCTTTGAGGTGCGAGGCCGTGGGCAATGGCCCACTTCGCCCACGCCTAGCGCCGCCACTGTGTAAATAGTAATTATAAAATTTCCTGATTGCATATTAATCTTAAAAATTTCATTTTTAGCTTCGATGCGAAGCTGAGAATGTATTAATTTTACCATGATGTGTTTATTTTTTTTTCTATTTAATAATGTCAATTTCAAACTTGCAAGTTGAACTATAAGTTATGGTAACAAATTCATATTTTATCTTCGATGCGAAGCTGAGAATGCATTTTTCATTAAAACTTTCACTTTAAAAGACAATAAAAAGTAGGTTCAAAATGATTACTTTTAACACATTAAAAATCAAAATCAGTATTAATTTAATACAATTTTTTTTGTTCTTAATTATTTTTTTTTTATATGTAAATACTTAATTTTTAATAATAAGTAATAATATTAAAACTTAGAAGTAATAGAAAAAGTTTAATTGCACATTTGCAAACATTGCGAAAAGTTTATTTAGAAAAGTATATTTTTTTTTCTGATGAAAGTTCCTTTTGTTCAGTGTATTTATTCATAAATAACAAAATTTTTTAATTAAAAAGTATTGCATCAATTCCTTTAAATTTGTATACGCATTAAAAGTATATGAATATACAAATCCTTTTTATTTTTATAATATCTTCGTAAAAATTACAATATTATATTATTGAATACCACTTTAATACTCAATTTAATTATTGTAATTATTATGTATTCATATATTATAATTATAAATCGGGGTAAAATTAAGGGAATAAGTGTTATTGTTGTTTTTGAAATAATCTACCAATTTCATTTTTTTCTATTTAATGATATCTATTTCAAACTTGCAAGTTGAGTTAAAAGTTATGGTAATAAATTCATTTTTTTTTTTTTTAAACTTTCACTTTAAAGGACAAAAAGAAGTTGGTTCAAAATGATTACTTTTAATATATTAAAAATCGATAATAATTTGAAAATAATTAATTATAAAAATTATATAATATATAATTAAACGAATTACTAATCTGGATATAATTATGGAAATAGGAGTTGATGTTGGGTTGGGTTGGTTACATTTTTAACTTTATAATGCTACAACTCATTGAAAAATGTATGAATCAACACAATTTTTTTATGAGAAATAATATTTTTTAATAATCCCTTTTTCATTCGACATTCTTTATCTTAATCAGGGTATTAATAAGGAACTAGCAGATCATGCAGCTTTTGTAATTATCCACCAATTTTTTAGAATTAAACACTATCTAAAGATTTGCATTTGGGAATTGGTTCAAAACTCTAAACATGAGCGTAAAAAATAGAACTTTTCCAATTTAATATTTGAAAATATTTTGAAAATCCTGCATTTTTTATATATATTTTTAATTAAAGCTTATTTAGTAAAATGAACATAAAAAATGAATTGTCCTTCGATTTATATTAAATGTAAAAACGACTATTGATGTTTAACAAAAAAACTATTTTTGTATAAAATAATTATTTTTTGTATTGTTATTTTTTCTACTAATTTTTGTTTTCAATTATTAGTATGTATACTATAATTCAAAAAGTACAGATATTAATGTTCAGAGAGTTCATCACTCCCTGTTTTTGCAAATAGCTCCCTATAAAAAAAAAATTTAATATAATTAAAATGTCATTATAAATATTTTTAGGAATAGTTTTTGCATGATTAGTGTTTATCCAATAAGTACATTGAATGGAGGCTTTTAGGTTCTCTCACATTCCCGAAAAAATACATTTTACCTCTCTAATGACTTATGATAAATTAAATTAAAATTCTTTCTAAAATTATAATCAAATGGCGGAGATCAGAATTGTTGAATTTTCTTTTTCAACTGCGAAAATTCCGTTGCATCAAAGTGTTTTATGGCAATAATTGTTATCACTGTCAGATTGCAATTTATAATGATCCCGTCAATGCTGGGTACACAATGTGTTGGATCCCGACTGTATTGGCTTTGTTAAAAAAGTTGTGTGGACATGATTGTATATGATGACATTTAATATTCTATATAAAAATTATACATAAAATAATTATATATATAAAAAAAACCCAGCACAGGAGGGTCGCGGCACAGTGGTGACGTGGCATAGTTGGATCAAGTAATAATGATATCTGACAGTGATTAAAATCACTATAAAAAAAAAACGCTTCGATGCAAATCTTTAGATAGTGTTTTATTTTAAAAATTAGTGGATTATTCCAAAAGCTACATGATCTGCTAGTTCCTTATTAATATCCTGATTAAGATAAAGTATATCAAAAGAAAAAGGGAATATTAAAAAATATTATTTCTCCAAAAAAAATTATGTTGATCAATACACTTTTCAATAAGTTATAGCATTATAATGTTAAAAATGTAAAAAATAAAATTGAGAATTTTCACACAATAATAGCATTTGGTAGGCATTTTCACCGTGAAGACAAAATAAAATCCGAAATTTTTTTTTTACATAATAAAGTAGATTACATTAGCTTTAATTTAATAAATATATATAAAAGTGTCAGACTTTCCAGACACTTTCAAAATTTAAGTTGAAAAAGTCAATTTTTTGTGAAAAAGTTGTCATTTTGATTCCCCCCCTGTAGGCAGGTAAAAAGTCAGATTTATAAAAAAAATATACCAAATGATAGGTAAAGACATCATGCATCTATAAAAAAAAAATTATATTGATCCATACATCTTTCAAAAAGTTATAGCATTATAAAGTTAAAAATATAAAAAAGAATTTTTTTACAAAAATCGTATTTTTTTTATTAAGTTTAATGTCTGTTATCACCATGAAGATAAAATAAAGTCCGAAATTTTTTTTTTTCATGATAAAGTATATTACATTAGCTTTAATTTAAGATATATATAAAAGTGTCAGACCTTCTGGAACACTTTCAAAAGTTAAGTTGAAAAAATTAATTTTTTGTAAAACAGTTGTCATTTTAAATCCCCCCCTGTGGGCAGGTAAAAAGTTTTATAAAAAAAATATACGAAATGATAGGTAATGACATCATGCATCTATAAAAAAAAAATTTACAAGGAACGAGGGAATTTTTTTCAATTTTTGAGGGTAATGTCTTCGACTAGATACGATTTGTGATCTTTTGACGTATCATTGAAAGAAATCGGTTCGGTGAGAGCTGAGAAAAAGTGGTAACAGACACAAAAAAAAAAAACATCTTAGTAAAACCAATACCGTCTCAGCTTCGCATCGAAGCTAAAATATATAATAATACTTTTAATATACGTAACTTCTATGTCTAATGGTAAAAGTGAAAGGGAAACTGCGTCAGTTTCAAACAAAGGCGTCGGGCCTTTAACGCTAGGCATTTGTTGAACTTTACACTACGACGAAAACGCGTGTGTGTAACGGTCCGGTTTATAGCGGTGGCTGAGAAGGAGCTGACACGTCCGCTGAATGTCAATCATGTCAGTGGTGGGGGAAGTGGTTGTTCTCCTCCTACGGTGTCATCTACTGAAGTATAAGGTAAACAATAACCTCATGTTAAGTGATAACGTTAACTGATAAACGTATGCATTACATTGAAATAATGTAAGTCAAGTAGCGACCGAAGCCGCCACACGTGTCCTTGACTATTCTTAGAACCTATTTACTTAATATTAACGCTATAGGATTCTCTTCCTCCATCAACATGTCCTAAAGAGAGAGGGAGTAATGAAATTTGAGATGAACTAACCTAATGGATGAGGTGGGTATGAAACCCGATGTAAACTAATAACGTTTTCTAAGAATTTTATCCTCACCTTCCAGACGCTTAGGTAAGCATATTTCCAACATCAAAGGTACCGCCATTTTATAACGTTTATAGGCGTCAGCATTTTTATTTTTACATAGTATTTTATCATTGCCTACCAGATGCTTAGAAAAGCATCTCGTTAACATTAGTATATGACTATAATTGGTAATATATTTTTAATATTAACTATGTGTATGCTTGTTGTTATCGGTTGCTATAATAGTATAATCGCTATTATTATTATTATTTTTTACTGCGGCTTTAAAATAATAATATGTGTATTGAGTTTTATTTTATTATATTTAATTTGACAATTTTTTATACCTAAAACTAGAGGTATTACATTTAAAGTCGCACCACCACCACCAGCACCCACGAGTCGTCACTTCGTTTAACATTAAATGTATACATTACATTGAAATAGTGTACGTCAAGTAGCGGCCGTCGCACCACACTTGTCCTTGACTATTCCATGAACAACTTGTTAACAAACTCTATGATGATATTGTTGGTTACAATTAAGTAATTCACCGTCGAGAACATCCTACATACAATTGTTTTTAATAACACTTGGGTGGGTAAACCGAATCAAGACAATTTGGTATGAGGTGCGCACAATGAGTAAAATTACAATGGGTGAAACCCAACGAAAACTGACTTAAATCGGAGAGGGGATCTTCTCATCCTTCAACAAGTCCTAATGAGCGAAGGGGTAATGAAACTTAACTTAAACTAACCTATTGGGAAGGGTGCGGATGAACCCCGACGTAAACTAACTTGTTGCATGTCTATATATTGTATGTAATAATTGTTAAGCGGAATAATTAAAAATTAATTTTCCATGGTAGGTACGCGTTAATCCTTGAACATGTCTATAGTACGCGTTGAGTCCATGTGTTTGATGTACCGCACCTTAAATGCAAAAGCTTTCTTCACTGCTCATGATTACATATAGTAATACATTGTTGTTGGAAATATGTCTTAAGCTTCTGGTAGCCGATGATAAAATTCTTAGAAATTATAATGACAGACGTTGTCATTGTTCTCATAAAATGTATATAACAGTGATTATTAGTGTACGGCGACATCTTTGATGTTTCAAATATGCTGACTTCAGCGTCTGGCAGGCAATGATAAAATTCTTAGAAAATGATAGCTTTGATATTGATAAAACACAGACGACAATTATTCTCATAAAATCTAGACGCCTATGAACGTTATAATACCTTTGATTTTTAAAATATGCTTACCTAAGCGTCTGGCAGGCAATTATATAATACTATGTAAAAATAAAAATGCATACAACAGTGATTATTAGTGTACGGCGACATCTTTGATGCTGGATATATGCTGACCTAAGCGTCTGGTGGGCAATGATAAACTTCATAGAAAACGTTGTTAGTTTAAGTTGGGATTCATCCCCACCTCACTCATTGCATTAGGTTAATTTATGTCAAGTTTCATTACCCCCTCCCTCTTTAGGACATGTTGAAGGAGATCCCTGTAGCGTTAAAGTGGCAACGGCGTCCGCTACTTGACTTACACTATTTCAATGTAATGCGTAAGTTTAAACATACGTTTATCAGTTAACATGAGGTTTACCTTATCCTCCAGTAGATGGCACCGTAGGAGGAGAACAGCAATTTCCAATGGCTACTTCCCCCACCGCAGACATAAAGCAGATGCTCACTATAGTTTAAACCCGCCATTTTTAATGACCATAACACCCCCACCTTCACCCCAGACTACACCTTCAATTAGCCCTACTATCATAAGACCACTCCTCCCCTTATAACCACCTACATAAGCCTACGCCTTCTCCTTACCCCCTCCTTCGTGATACTATGTCCACCTCTTACCACCACCTACATTAGACCACGCCAACCCCTCCCCGCCACAAAGACGGAGGATGAGGTGGTGAGGCGAGGTCCTAGAATTCCCTACTTTACCCTACTTGTATGTATTTTAACATTAATAATACATTTTAGTTAACGCAAACACGTCTGGATCCAATAACAAACTTGGATAATTACACTAATGATTTCACTCTTTGCATGAAAACCTATTCTATGGAATATACAGGAGAAACACCTATAGGTAATTAATACATTTAAAATATAAAAATTTATTTATATTTATTCTACAGAATTTTTTTTTAAATTTATGTTGAAATTTAATTTTGAATCGAAGAGGTTATTTAATAATAGACGTATAAGATTATATAATGTAAAAAACGATAGCACAGTATAGAAGTGAGATAATTGGGACAAGTGTAGATAATATCTGACAGTGATTAAAATCACTATCATAAGAAACGCTTCGATGGAAATCTGTAGATAGTGTTTCATTTTAAAAAATTGGTAGATTATTTCAAAAGCAAAATTAACTCCTATTTCCTTCATTATTCTTAATTAGTAGTTCTATGATTTATAAATATAATATATGAATAAATATCTATTATAGAAATTAAATATATTATGAAATTGATATTTAATAATTTTGTGAAGTAATTTTTACGGAGAAATTATAAAAATGTATAAAGTATGTAAGGTTTCAGCCAAACAGAGGGCCTACTAATTACCCACTGCCCAGGGGGAACACTGGACAGTGACCTAGTAGCCGCGCCAAACAAGATATTACTTGCTGACGGAGCTACTAGGTTTTGATAAAAACAAAAAAAAAAACCAATATTAATGAAATGAGGGAAAAGTATAGAGAAAAAAAAGAGGCCATGTATAATATAACATCATTTTTTTTTTTAATTATTTAATTAAAAAAATTGTATAATTACTATTTAAGATATAGATAGTCATAGGAAAGAAGAAAGAAAAAAGAAAAGGAGGTGCTTGATACACAAATTAAAAGGGGGTAAAAGGGGTTTCTTGATGTTGTACTTGTTTGTTGATTGAAGGGTGACGGCCCACCACCGGCCATAGCTACGCCTCACATCCCCATCATCATCTTCTCGACATTTATTTTTATAAAAAAAAAACGGAGGACAAAAAAAATTACAGCCTGGTTGACTCCAAAGTAGACAGCAGGTCGTCTCGACGTTTATTTTATAAAAAAAAAACGGAGGACAAAAAAAATACAACCTGGTTGACACCACAGTAGACAGCAGGTCGACTCGACGTTTATTTTATAAAAAAAAACGGAGGACAAAAAAAATGCAAAAACGTGGTTTTTTTCAGAAACACAGCGGACAACTTGTCGCCTCGGCAGTATAGGTGGAAAAAAAAAAGTGTTGTAGCGGCAGTTGTGTAGTGGCCGGTGATCGTGACGCTGGGTGGTGGTGGTGCCAACTTTGAACACGTTCATTGAGGGGACATTACAATATTGGTATAGGTGCACAGTGTACGGTCAGCTGATGATGACAGATAACGGACCGGTTGACAAGTGGAGGTTATCATATACAAAATTATGAAAATACTCTACACCTATTGCACACACCTCTACTCTAATTTATAAGATTTAAATATATAAAAAAAACTTGTATAAATTCTGCAACATTACAAGTAGTTAATTTTATAGCAAACCTTTATATAAATTAATTGAAGGGCTTTTTACAAAAAATTTTCAAAAAATAATATGTTGTTAATTATAAATAAATGGTCCACAAGAAATTTTCATCAGAGTCAAAAATAGAATGTTTTTTTAAATATGGCTGCCATTTGCTCATAACATTTTTGACGTATTGTTCATCAAAATCGATTTAGTGAGAGCTGAGAATGTGTGGGAACAGACATAAAATAAATATAGTTAAAAAAAACTAAAAAAGACGCTTTTAAAGCACATCGAACTATAAAGTTAAAAATGATTTTTTAAAATTAATTTAAAACAATAATGAACAAAAAATACTAGTATTATTGTGATAAAAACGTGGGTGCTTTGTGCCATATTTTTTGTATATTGAACGCCTGACGCTTTTTTTCACAATAATACTAGTATTTTTCGTTCATTATTGTTTTAAGTTAATTTTAAAAATTATTTTTAACTTTTTAGTTCTGTTACGTCGCTATTTAGGGGTTTAACCTAAATGCCCGTCGACAGTATTCTAAGTGACCAACGGGGGATAGCTGGCTAGGCTATATCAACCTTAGGTACTGAAGTTTCCTATTTAATTTATATTCCCTTAGAGGAACTACCAAGGGTCACACTACAATATACATATATAACACTTTAGGTTAACAACGATATAAATAAATATTTATTAAACAATTGAAATATTAAATGGATAATACAACCTGCTGGACACCAAGAGATGATTAATCCAACAGGGAGCTGACGGCGACACAGACACACACTATAATATACGGAGTAGCGAAGTTAAGTTAATTATCAGGCAAAAGTAGATATCGCGAAGATGGTAAAATGTCAACTGTCGATAGGGATATCTTATTAAGGCACATTGGCCGTGAATTACAAAAAGTGTTTATGTGTGCAGTCCGCCCTCCTGTTAGTATTGCTGTATGTCACTGTGTTAATTATATTTACAGGTTGATTTTTTTATCATAACCCACTCAATTACTTGCATAATAATAATAATTTAAACATTTTTTTTTTTTATTAACTTTAGTTACACATTATTTTTGAATTTTTAACTGTGTAATACTTTTTAAGTTCATCCCTTATGCCTTGGAGGGGGTCAACTTTGTTTTTTTAAATGGTAACACATATTTTTAATTTAATAAAATGTTTCAGTTTTTAATTTAATAGTAAATGGCATTTGAATTTTTAATATAACTTTATTAGCTTATTAGATATAAACATTTAAAGTTTCAAAATTTTGAGTTAATATACATGTATAATACACATGGGATTGTAAATACAGGTAGCTAATTGGATTTTTATGACATTGCTGTCTCAGTCACGGATTGTTTATTATCAATTATGATTATCAATAGATATACTTTCTGTATTGTCAGTTAGTGTATTTATAAACTCATAACAATGTGCCTTACTACAATTGATAATAACAATGCTGTGTACCTGCTAATATCGATGTTATAAAAAACCAATTAGCTACCTGTATTTGTAATCCCTTGTGTATTATACCTGTATATTAATTCAAAAATTTGAAACTTTAAATGATTATATCTAATAAACGAATTAAGTTATATTAAAAATTCAAATGCCATTTACTATTAAATTAAAAACTCAAACATTTTATTAAATTAAAAATATGTGTTACCATTTAAAAAAACAAAGTTGACACCCTTACCAGGCATAAGGGATGAACTTAAAAAGTATTACATAGTTAATAATTCAAGAATAATGTGTAACTAAAGATAATAATAAAAAAAAATTTTTTAATTATTATTATTCTGTAAGTAATTGAGTGGGTTATAATAAAAAAATCACCCTGTATATATATGTCTATTAAACGGTACAATGATGTTATGGGAGACAGAGATATGGGCACATGCAAATGTGATCGTATCAGTTCGATGTGCTTTAAAAGCGTGTTTTTTAGTTTTTTTAAACTATATTTATTTTTTACTTTTTAGTTTCATGTTATGATAGTAGTTGCTATCAATATCATGGTTGTAACGGGTAACGGGAAATCAGGGTTTGATTCCGGAGAGAGAGTCTGAGAAACGACTATCACATCTAAGTAAAGTAGGAGGTGCGCAAATAACCCACTCCCGGAACGTGGAGGTAGTGACGAAAAATGACGGTACAGGAATCATCCTCCGTAATCGGAATGAATACACTTTATATCTCTTAATGAGAATAAAGCGTGTTATTGTATACATTTTAATAGTAATTAGAATATATATACAGGGTGTTCAGTAAGTCATTGTTACAAACAATGAGAACAATAGAAACCCGTTTCCTGACTTACTGAACACCCTGTATAATCATGTAAAGCGACTTAAGTACGTAAACGTATCATGCACGAGGTATAGCTGTGTTTTGTAGGCGGGGGGAACGTTATACCTAAGGTATAAACGGCAGCAGCGGCGGTAGGAATATATAAATATATATACGTAAGGCGCATTACATGCGGGTGGTATTGGTCAGTCAAAATAAAAATTTGTTTATATATATATATATATATATAATTGATGTCACGCATGAGTGTACGGGTACAAAAACCAATAAATATAGTTTAAAAAAACTAAAAAACACGCTTTTAAAGCNTTTAATTAATTTTTTTCATTGAATAATGAACATGAATATATTTATTTTATGAGTTTACCAGTCGCCGGTTTTATGTATCGATTTTTAAAACCGGTTTTAAATAATAATCGCTTTCTGTTCATAGACACAGTTTTTAAAAATTATTGGTTTTGATTAACAAAACCGAAAAAAACTGTTATAACCAGTTTTTATAAAACCAGTTTCAGTCTCCGCTTTAGAAGTAAACAAAAATTTTATCTAATTTTATCATAATGTTTGAAGCACGGAATATTTATTTTTAATCTTCTTTAATTATTTAAAATTAATTAATTACAATTGAATGACAATTAAATGAGTTACATGATTGTAAAATTTTAAGTTAATCGGTAACATCAGCTCATAGGTAATATTTAATTTGAACAATACGCGTAATGAATAAAAATCAAAGTAAAATTTAATATTGTCGAATCTGTCATTAATAATCTTAACGATTTTAACCAACAACAATTTTTTTTTTTTTTTGCAAGAGTGCAATACTCTTGCAGTTTTATTCTTGTTGTTGCAAGATTCTTGCATTTTGAGTCTTGGTCTTGGTCTTGTTCTTGCAAGTCTAGTCTTGTTCTTGTTCTTGGTCTTGCTAAAAAAGTCTTGGTCTTGTTCTTGTCAATTGAGTACAGTCTTGATGTTGGTCTTGCTGATATTATTACAGTCTTGGTCTTGTTCTTGGTTTCGTAGAAATGCAAGACCAAGCCAAGACCGCAAGAACAAGAGTAATTCTGCTCATCACTAATCGGGATACGCGAGAATAATAACACGTGCCGCATGGAACGTTACAAACACACATCACACAACACACATACAAGTGAAACTAATATAAGCGTGTTAAAAAAACACTTTATAGTAAAATCAATACCATTTCAGCTTCGCATTGAAGCTAAAAAACATACAACGGCAATGGGTCACGTAGCTTGAAGGATTAACAAATATCTTAAATAAGGAAAGACGGGATAAGATGAAGAATTCAGTTTTTTTTTTAAATTAATAACTAGTTAGCATTAAAGCCTCTTATAGTATATTTTGTTACACACTAGTTCTAACATACGTGCACGCACGTTAATTTTAGATGTGTTTAGGTGTGTAAAAAATATTTTTTTAATTTTTCTTTTAAAAATTCCAAAAAAATTACTTTAGACTGGAAACGTGGAACTTTTTAATATCAAAAGGAGGATTTTCTGCTACTAATGTAATGGGTTGTTTGTATTTGAAGAAATGGAAAAAGATATAGTGAGCCAAAAGTAAGGTTTTAGTTATGATATAATAAGATAAATAAAATTGGGTGTGTTGATTAATCAATTTGAATTTTTGAGAACTTGAATAAATTTAATCATTTTACTTTCGGTTACTATAATTTAGTTTGTTTAATATTATTGGGGTCGTGGAGTACGAGGGTTTAGAGAATGACAATACAATCAGATAAAAGGATTATGATGAATATTGAAATTTAATGTATGTATCAAATTTATAAACTTTGGTAAATCATTTGAATAGTCTCACGTTTCAAAGAGCACGAGCTTATGTCAGCAACTATGAAACGTAATAAGAAAATGCGTAGGTACGATCTTTGGTCAAGCACTTCGAACGCATTTAATAATTCTCCTGACAAACCAGTTAATAAATTTAATATGTCTAAAGATAAATTAATTATTATTGTTTTGTCATTTTCTTCTCGGATTAAATAATTTCAAATTATTGGAATTACAATGTATCACTTACTTTATAATGTTTTTTGTGGAATTGAAATGAACAAGACTGACTAGTTTTTCTTTCTGAATATTTGAAAGACCTGTGGTCAATTGCTGTATTTGATTCTTGACTTAAAAATGGAATGAGTGAGTTGAGCTAAGTGAGTGAATTGTATAGCTTTTTACGGCTTTTTATAAGAAATCTATGATCTATATATGTCACCAAAATGTAAGAATTGACCACCAGGGCTTTCATCTTTATTGAAACGAAAATTATAAGCAGGGATAATATATTACATTGGTTATGGTACATTTGATTTTTCTTGGGGATACTGTTACTTAATACATTGTCTTTGTAGATTAATTTACAGTGTTTACATTTATGATACAGATATTAATCTTAAACTGAACAAGTACATACATTGTATTAATTACATCAGTGATTATGCTATGATATCAATTTAAGATAATTATTTTATTTTGTGATAAACATTGCGAATAATATTAAATTTGAGCGATGAACGATATACACTTATTTTAATTAATATAAATATATGAAAATATATTAAAGTTGTTCTGAAAATCAAATCTTAAAATGTAGAGGAGCCGGGGGTAGCTTACATCCTAAAAGTAGCAAAAAATAATTATCAATTACTAAACAAAATAACAATTTTAAAATAAATATATGTTTAACATTTTTATTAGGCTAGTCAACAAAGGAAAAATAGCGGAAAAAATTCCCAACCAAATTTTTTTTTTTTTTTAAAGTTGAATTAAGATATGTATAATGACATACTTATAGTCCTCATCGATTGGACTTGAGATTTTTTTTTTACAGCCTCGCAAAAGATCAAAAATGTGAGCTTTTTTCATTTTCTCAAAAAATATTTAACTTACAAAAAAAAGTTGTCCTCATATCGCATTCAATAACATCCCTCAATCACTTTTTTGGTCTTCCTCTACCTCTTCTTTCTTCAACATTCATTTCTATAACTGTTCTTACAGCTTCCGATTCTTCTCTCATCATAACATGACTAAAACATCCAAGTCTATTTTCTCTCATCTTATCCACGATTAACGCTACACTTATACTACCTCTTACATGCTCGTTCCTTATTCTATCTTTTATAGTCACTCCACTCATCCAACTATGCATTTTCATCTCTGCTACACTCATTCTCTGCTCTATTTTCTTATTAATCACCCAACACTCTGAACCATACACCATTGCTGGTCTCACTACATTGTTGTAGAATTTACCTTTTAGCCTCATTGGAATTCTTTTATCGCATAAGACATCAGACGCTTCTCTCTACTTCAACCATCCGCACTTAATCCTGTGTCTTACATTCTCGTGAATACCACCGCTCTTTTGCACTACTGATCCTAAATACTTAAAAATTTCTACCTCCCCATTCACAGTCCCGCCTATTGTCACTGATCTCCTCATTTCACCTACCTCATGTTCTCTTTTGTCAACCCAGCCAAAATTTCTGGTAATGATAAAATTAATTGTCATAGTGTTTAAAATTGGTCTTGTTCTAGTAAACTCAATGGCAGATAATAACTTTCATGATATAAATAGGTCAAAAAAAGTTATAACTGTATCCTCAATAACTTCAAAACCCATTGCTACTATTTCAACTAATCGCTATTAAAAAAAAAAACCGGCAGTGTCCCGGCACATTGTGTATAATTGGGTGCAGTATAGATGATATGTTACAGTGATTAAAATCATTATCAAAAACAACGTCTAGATGCAAATCTGTAGATAGTGTTTAATTTTAAAATATTAATGGATTATTACAAAAGCTACATGATCTCCTATTTCCTTATTTATAGCCTAAATACAAGTTATATGCATTACTAGTGCAAAGTATGTAATCAATGGAGGATTTCTCCACTATAAAGTTATTTGACAAATGTATCAAACAAAATTTTTTTCCATTTTCTTATTCATTTTCCCATTCTAAATTTTGAGAGAATATATCTTCAACAAAAGTACAATTTTCTTAATCTTCAATCTTTATTTCTATTGAATTTGTACACCATTGACCTTTGCAATGTTCACATATAATAGAAAAATTAAGCCCTGTGTTTCGGCAACCACAATTTTTAGCACCTCCAGCACCAGACTAAAGGCCGTTTTATGACAATTATCTATATTATTAGCAGAAATTCCGGTGGCAATTGACATAATATAATTGTTGTTTGGGAATGTACAATTTAGCGTTTAGTTGGGTTTAAACAATATAGCGTCAAATCAATTACCTACACTATCGGTTGTATCTTAATATACACTACACTTTAATGATACTATAAATAAATAAACTCACACATACACACATATGCATTTATAACATTGTGTCTAATGTAAATATAACATGATAAAATGTAACCGTATAATGAAAAAAATTGGAAAATAAATTTTAGTACTCATATTAAATGTAATGTAACTCGAAAAATATTTGTTTAAATGAAAAAATTTAAGATACACTTTTTTTAAATTGTTTTTTAAACAACTTTTGTACGAAACTTTTTTTTGTAAGTTAAATATTTTTTGAGAAAATTAAAAAAGCTCATATTTTTGAACTTTTGTGAAGCTGTAAAAAAAAAAAAGCTCAAGTCCAATCGATGAGGACTTTTAGTATGTCATTATCAATATCTTAATTCAACTTTTTAAAAAAAAAATTTTGGTTGGGAATTTTTTCCGCCATTCGCCAAAATTACTCCTTCGTTGACTGGCCTATATCTGTATGTTGATGATCTGAATACAATGAATAGAAAGAAACTGACCTGAGTTATTTGATTTTAAGTGAAAATAAAAACACTAACAGAAGATAAAATAGTGAATGTAATATAGTGACGAATATTTGTAAATGTTTGTAACTATAGTACATAAATTGATAGCCATTTTCATAAACTACCGAATCAATGACAAAAGCACACAAATATGGGTATACAAACAAACCAAATGAATTGTGGTAAGACTTGACTGAGGTATTGATAGTAAAAGTAATCAAAAATTGTATAACTCAATTATCGAGTTAAAACGTAAGAGAAGATAGTACATAAGAGTGTAAAGACGATTCGTAAAAATAAAAAAAAAATGACAGATATTCGTTGTAAAAGGGACGACGGTTGACAAGACGAACCGGTCACATGGGTGCATTATGGGAAGTTAAGGACAAGGTGTTAAAGATGTCACTCTTTACCTTACAATATTAATTCATAAAGACCCATTTCTTTTACATTAGTTTTGGTTACAAAGTTTTACAATCGTTTTCATCATATTGTCCCATAGTTGGGAAAAAAGACAATTTTCAGGAAAACTCATGTTTTACCTTTTAAAAATGAAAAAAACGATTGAAAAACTTTGTTGTATTACGCTAAATATTGAAGTAATATTCAGGTAAATTTCAAATTTTAAATCCATTCAAAGAAATCAGAAAAAATGGTAGAAGTCTAACCTCGCCATCTTACCTCACCTAACCCTAAATTATGCTTAAAGCTACATTTTGTGAACTGGCATACTTGAGATTGGAATGTGTTTTTTAGCTTCGGTGCGAAGCTGAGAAGGTATTAATTTTACTATGATGTATTATTTTTTTTATTTATTTTTTATTATTATTTTTTTTTTTGTGTCTGTGCATGCTCAATCTCAGTTTTCGCTGGACCGATTTTGATGAACAATATGTCAAAAGATCACAAATCGTATCTAGTCGAAGACATAACCCTCAAAAATTGAAAAAATTCCCTCGTTTCCTGTAAACAGGGGAAATCCCCAAAAAAATTACAAATTTAAAAATCGCTAATTTTCGACATTTCTTCAATTTTTTTTACTTAAAATTGGCATAACTTTTTTAAAAATAACTGAATCAATATATTTTTTTTTTTATAGACACCTTAGATATATACCTATCATTTTATATATATTTTTGTGAACATTTGACCCTTTAACAGCTCACAGGAAAAGTTTCAAAATGATAACTTTATTACAAAAAATTAACTTTTTGAACTTAACTTTTGAAAATGTTCCGGAAAGACTGACACTTATAAAATACCTTAAATTAAAGCTAAAGTAATATACTTTAAAAAAAAAAAAATTTGATCTTTGGACTTGTCTTCATGGTGAAAATGACTACCGTATGCAAAAATATGCTATTTTTGTGAAAAAATTCTTAATATTATATTTTACATTTTTGCTTCGATGCAAAGCTGAAAAGGTATTGATTTTACTATGACGTGTTTTTTTTTCCAGGCGTTTACTATTAACATCACATTTAAATATGACCACATAACACCATAGAACTATGTACAATTCGTTAATGGCTAGTTAACGAACAAAAATTCGATTATGGTAACTAACGACCAAAACAGTGGTTAATTTTCTTTTTGTGTCTGTTACCACTTTTTCTCAGCTCTAACCGAACGGATTTCATTCAACGATACGTCAAAAGATCACAATTTGTATCTAGTCGAAGAAATTTCCCTCGTTCCCCGTAAATGGGGGAAACCTCCAAAAAAATTACAAATTTAAAAATCGCTAATTTCTGAAATTTTTTCAACTTTTTTTACTAAAAATTGCCATAACTGTTTCAAAAATGATCATATCAATATAATTTTTTTTTTATAGATGCATGATGTCTTTACCTATCCTTTGGTATATTTTTTTTATAAATCTGACTTTTTACCTGCCTACAGGGGGGGATTCAAAATGACAACTTTTTCACAAAAAATTGACTTTTTCAACTTAAATTTTGAAAGTGTTCCGGAAAGTCTGACACTTTTATATATATCTTAAATTAAAGCTAATGTAATATACTTTATAATGGTAAAAAAAAATTTCGGACTTTATTTTATCTTCATGGTGAAAACAGACATTAAACTTAATAAAAAAAATACGATTTTTGTAAAAAAATTCTTTTTTATATTTTTAACTTTATAATGCTATAACTTCTCGAAAGATGTATGGATCAATATAATTTTTTTTTTTATAGATGCATGATGTCTTTACCTATCATTTGGTATATTTTTTTTATAAATCTGACTTTTTACCTGCCTACAGGGGGGGATTCAAAATGACAACTTTTTCACAAAAAATTGACTTTTTCAACTTAAATTTTGAAAGTGTTCCGGAAAGTCTGACACTTATATATATATTTATTAAATTAAAGCTAATGTAATCTACTTTATTATGTAAAAAAAAAATTTCGGATTTTATTTTGTCTTCACGGTGAAAATGCCTACCAAATGCTATTATTGTGTGAAAATTCTCAATTTTATTTTTTACATTTTTAACATTATAATGCTATAACTTATTGAAAAGTGTATTGATCAACATAATTTTTTTTGGAGAAATAATATTTTTTAATATTCCCTTTTTCTTTTGATATACTTTATCTTAATCAGGATATATTTAAGGAACTAGTAGATCATGTAGCTTTTGGAATAACACACCCATTTTTTAAAATTAAACACTATCTAAAGATTTGCATCGAAGTGTTTTTTTTTTATAGTAATTTTAATCACTGTCAGATATCATTATACTTGATCCAACTATCCCACGTCACCACTGTTCCGTGACCTCCCTGTGCTGGGTTTTTTTTATTTTAAAATACTATAACTTTTTAAAAAAATGTATGGATTAATACAATTTTTTCATGAAAAATAATATTTTTTAATAATCCCTTTTTCATTCAGGATATTAATAAGAAAATAGCAGATCATGAATAATCCACCAATTTTACTAAAATTTTTCTTAAATTCTATTCTACAAAATAGCTATCTTAGTTTTTTTTTTACATTTTATTTAAAATTTAAAAATAATTAATATTTTTAATAAAATGTAAAAAAATTAATTATTGATATATAGCTATAGACATAACGTATAACTATTATTAAAAAAAAAAAACCAACTAAAAATATTAACTGGATCAAAAGTTATTTAAGTTGTCAGTGAGTGGTGGGTCACTGTGTAAAACTAGGTACCAATAGAATCCAAAGATGTAACTAAAGGGAGAAAAGAGGATGGTTTATGTCTCTTAAGTTACCTCAGTTGGCCAACAAGATATGTATTTATAATATTTAAAAAATTATATTGATAATATATTCAACAAATATTTCGAGTTAAATATTTTATATTTATTCTAATTAATATATTTTCATAATATTTATAAGCAAATATTTAAAAAGATATTTTTTAAGCACATTGTAGAATTTTTTTTAGTGTAATATTCTGTATTTATTCTTTTTCAATATATTCTCAAAATATACATAAATTAATATTTAAAAATTTATTTTGTGAGCATATTGTAGNGTAATTTACTGTACTTATTCTTTTTAATATATTCTCAAAATATACATAAACAAATATTTAAAAAATTATTTTGTGAGCATATTATGGAAATATTTCAATAGAATATATTTTTTTATTATATTTATGAGATATTGTCACAATATTTGCTTCAAAATATTTTGACAATATTAATATATTGAAATTGCTATGTGGGTGGGAGAGATTAAGTATCTCAATTAAACCCTTGTTTTACAGAATAAAACAAACCCAACACAGGGAGTACAGTGATGAATTGGGTCAAGTATAGATGATATCTGACAGTGATTAAAATCACTATCATAAAAAACGCTTCGATGCAAATCTTTAGATATTGTTTAATTTTAAAAAAATGGTGGATTATTCCAAAAGCTATATTATTTCCTATTTCTTTATTTATATCCTGATTAAGATAAAGTATATCGAATGAAAGAGGGATATAAATGTTATTTCTCATAAAAAAATTGTATTGATCCATACACTTTTCAATAAGTTATAGCATTATTAAGTTAAAAACGTAAAATATAAAATCGAAAATTTTCACACAAAAATAGCATTAGGTAACTATTTTAACCATGAAGACAATATAAAGTCCAAATTTATTTATTTTCATAATAAAGCATATAACATTAGAATTAATTTAAGATATATATAAAAGTGTCAGACTTTCCAGAACACTTTCAAAAGTTAAGTTGAAAAAGTTAATTTTTTGTGAAAAACTTGTCATTTTAAATCCCCCCTGTGGGCAGGTTAAGTTTCAGATTTACAAAGAAATTTTACCAAAAGATAGATAAAGACATTATGTATCTATAAAAAAAAATTATATTGATTTGGTTATTTTTAAAAAAGTTATGGCAATTTTAATTTAAAAAAATTGAAAAAATTGAAAAAATTAGCGATTTTTATATTTGTAATTTTTTTGGAGATTTTTTCCATTTACGGGGAACGAGGGAAATTTGTTAAGGGTAATGTCTTCGACTAGATACGATTTGTGATCTTTTGACGTATCGTTGAAAGAAATCCGTTCGGTGAGAGCTGAGAAAAAGTGGTTACAGACACAAAAAAAAAACACATCATAGTAAAATTAATACCTTCTCAGCTTCGCATCGAAGCTAAATTATTAAACACCAATAAGTTCAAATATTCACCATTAATTATATTACATAAAAAAAAAAAAAAGAAATGTTTCAGATACTGGGTTCTGCGCCCATAATTTGTTGTGTGGATATTTAATAATAAGATATATAAGATTATTTTTAATATAAGAGTGCATAATGTAATTACATACAATGGCAACGGGTCACGCAGCTTGATAGATTAACAAAGAAAAATATTACATAATACGTTTACAGCTATGTAGTGTTAATTATTTGAGAATCGAATGTGTTTCTTCAACTTATTATTATTTTAACAAATGTAAACATGTGTTCTGAATTTACAGTATGTATTATTTTAAGTATACTTAAAATTACTGTGGTCTAATATCAATAATAATAATAATAAAAAAATGATTAATTTAACTCGATTTGAAGGATTTTCATTGTTTATATTTTTGTAGAGCCATTTATATATTAACATTTATTTATGTGTCATTTTGTGTATCAGTTAGTATGGCTGAACAATGGATAGACAGTGCGACTCCAGAAATTTGTGAAGTAAATCTTAAAGAAGAATTATGTCCACTTTGTAAAAATAAAGAACATTGTTTTGATAAAATGAACATATGTTGTATTACCTTTTGTGATAAATTAATGAAATTAAAAAAAGCCATTAACGATGCACTACAAGATCATGTTTCTTAAAAAATATTATATAGTTATAAAATAAGTGTATATCAATAATTAATGTTTATCATATCATAAGCTTACTAAATATATCGTTAATATTCTGACATTTAAAACCTATATATCCTAAACCTTTATTAATGAAATTTCAATAATTACTATGTATACATAATAACTAAATTATTCCAAAATGTAACTGACACCATGTGCATGACATTAGTCTAAGGTAATGATAAGAATTTTATGAAAAAAAAAAATTCTTGTACGTTCTGATAAGTAACAAATTTTGATTATTGTAATTAAAAATTAGTTTCAAAATTACATATTATTAATAATGAAAAAAAAATTGTAAGCATGTATTTTTAAACTAATTAATTGTGTAACCACTTTAAATTCCTTACAAATTACAATTTTAAATATTTAAATACAAAGTATTGTGTTTATGATTTAGTAAACTCAATTATATGGTTTATTTATTTATTTATTTCAGTTATATTTCTAGCTTACTATGTACAAAAAAATTCATGATAGATCGAAACTACCTATGATTTTTCAATTATTAGATAACATTTAAAATTTTCTTATAAGCACATAACATTCATTTGTTGTGTTACGTCGCTATTTAGGGGTTTAACCTAAATGCCCGTCGACAGTATTCTAAGGGACCAACGGGGGATAGCTGGCTA